CAAAATTAATCATGAAATAATAGCAGCTTATAGACTGAGTCATCAGTAAAATTAATTTCTTCTCATGTTACTTTGTCATTCCAAAGAAGAAAAAAAGTTAATGGAAAACTATAACTCTTAAATTATGGAGCAGGTTTCACTTCATCTAAAATGATTTAGGCACAAGTAAGACTTTCTCTACTTTCTAATCTTTTCCAATAACATAAGCAGATGTCATTCTCTGAAGTCCCGGGCAGCATCTGCCAAACGATAACTCCCAAATTATAAAATCACAAGTCTATAAGCAAGGCTGGTTGACTTTTTTATAATTTTTTTAAAATATTTATTTATGTATTTAATTCTATTTGTTATTATTTTTTAATTTGACCAGAGAAAGACAGAGAGAGAAAGGGAAAGTGAGGAAGCAAGCTGCCAGGTCCGGGACTGGAACCACAGACAGCCCTGTGGGAATCCAGCACCCTCAACCACCACGCCACCTGCCGTTGCCGACTTTTTTATCATTTTAACCTAAATTTAAAATGTGCTTCGCTTCTACACCTCTTTTTCTTTACTTTTCAGTTGATCTACGCTAGATACCTTTTTTCTCCAGAAAGTCACTCTCTTCTCTGGAGGCAGAGACCACACAAAAATTAAACAACTTTTTTTCCCCAAATGTTCTTTTGCATAGGTCCTAAAGTTCTGTTCCTAAGAAAATAAATTACCTAATACTACACAGAAATAAACTAGGATTTCAAAACTCTAATTGAAATATTTCCATAAAAATAGACTAGGATTTCAAAACTCTAATTGAAATATTTTCAGAAATATAAGGCCATGACATTCTAATTCTTAGAGAACTATTAACCCATTTATTTCTCCTCAGGCCCAAACTAAAATTCAAAAGAATGGCATCTGAACTTTTCCTCGGCTGGGCTAGCATGGTGGTGTAGCAGTAGCGCACCAAGAGATGCTGCTCTGTATGGAAGGCTGCAGGTCTGGATCCCCCCATCAACCTGTATGTGCCAGGCTTGGGAATCCATGGTCCTGGCTGGCTGGGAAGGCTGGTGGGGGATCTCTGCATGAGATCCTGCTGTGGGTGCTGGTCTTTCTCACTCTGTCTCTTACTCTCATGAAAAAAAATTTTCGGGACCAGCAGTTAGCATAATGGCTATGTCGCTGGTCTCCCATGTAGTCAACCGCGGTTCGAATCCCGGACCTGTTGGCTTAAAACTCATGACGAGCGTGTGTGCATGCGAGCCCAAGATCCCGAGAGGAGAATGGAGAAGAGATTGCAGTGTGGCCATCCTCCCCAGGGGGTGATTTCTCACCTTCTGTCTCTCTGTCTTTCTCTCTCTCTCTCTGTCTGGCGAGTGCACACGCACTATAGCAAAAACCTCTCCAAAAAAAAAATAATTAATGTTTTTAAATAAGCTTCAGGCATAAAAGAACAAGAAGAGTTATATGGAACTATAACAACAATTGTCAGAAAAAGTGGAAATTTCTCCCCTTGAGGAGAAAAAGAAAAAGAAAAAGGTGCCAAAAATTTGTTTCCTGAACACACTAGTTGGAAGACAGAGTGTAGATCATAACTCATTTTTTTTTCCTTTTCAGAGCTAATAAATTTCTGCTAAAATAAAAATATGACTACCAAATTTTAACAATCAGTTACTATATGAGGGGGGCGGTCTCCAAATACTTCATGGAAAATGTGAATTATGAAAAACTATGCAAATATTCCTTCTTTTTTTTTTTTTGTACCAAAATAAACTCATACTTTAATGCCAATTTTTCCCAAACTTTTTGAAGTTCCCTTGTACTGGCTGTTCATACTTCTTTGAGACTTGCTTGCAGAAGCTCCATTCTCTAAATTCCTCTTTGTCAGCAGGGCTACTACATCAATATAGTAGCCACATATCCATATTTCCATGTATCGACACGTCTTCCATATATCAGTATTTCCCATCAGACTGATAGTTCATTTTCTGCTGCTGCTGTCCAACCGTAGAAAGAGGATAGATTTCTGTTTTGAAGACTGTGGGCCTGGAATACATGCTTTGGCGACATTATCCTCTTTGCTAGAGATGTGCTGATACATACCCTATTCCCATCCTTTTGCTGTGAGCCAGAATGTGGACAATTTAGTAGAAATTCAAGGCACAGAAGACAAACAACATGAAACACGTCAGTGGCTATTGCTGACTTGGCACAGGCAGAATGCCTGAAGTCCAGGTCCAGCCAGAGCACTTACCCTGTCCAGGCAGCTGCCGTATCTTCTAGCTCCCGTTCACTAAACTCACGGTTTCTCTTAGTCGCCCACTGTGACTTTCTACAGCCCACTCAGAGTCAAGTTAGTCACTTTTCCAAAGAATCAAGAGCCTTCTTGTTGTGTGGAGCCTAACCTTTTGGCATCTGATTAAAAATGCAATCCCCAATGCCCACAAACATCTCAACTTGGCTTAGCAAGCTCTTCCCTAGGAAATCTAACCAGCCTTGGTCCTAAGGGTGGACACAGAGTCCCGGGGTGGCTGTGGGCAGAACTGCTCACAGTCATTATCAATCCATGAGTTCTAAGCTTCCTCTCTCCCTGTGTCCAACTATGATGAATCTTAAAGGCTTCCTTGCAGGATACTCTCATTTTACAGTTTTTTGTTTTGTTTTGTTCTGTTGTATTGTCTGTCTTTGTTTTGTTGTTTGTAAACAAACAGCATGGCTCATCATACTGCAGTGTGCCACCCCGAAGCTTTTCTATCTATTATCCAGCCTTTAACAGGGCACTGATACACAGCCATAATCTGTGCCACGAGGATGTCTCTGTCCTGAAAGGGATTACTCTGACAGTTCCAAGACCATTAGGATAAAAGTAAGGCCGGCTATGATTTCACTTTCTTTCTCAATCTATCTCCATGCACAAGATTCCCAGGAGCAAGATCACAGTCCCTTGCACTAGGAAAATCTTTCATTCGGGCAGTCAGTCACATAGCTTGCCTATAATTATAAAGTAGACCTAATTTCCATCCACTTGCAGTAAACAGTATACATTTGTATCCTCTTCATAAAAGTGGTTCTTCACATTTCAAATAGTAAATATACTTCTCATTGCTTTATTCATGATCTCCACTCATAACACCCTTGAGGGGGTTATTTTATGTTAGATTTTTTACCTGATGATGTTGTTTTAATCCAAAATGTAACCTGAATATTTCATTTATAAGTGAGCAGTCTCCACTAAGGTTAGCAGCTCGAACCTATCACAAAGACAGAAGGCAAATGAAAATAAATGCTCATGTTCTACATGCATCTTTATGATACCAAACCATTTTTAAAAATTGGAAAGAAGATAAAATTAGTATGTTTTTTCTGAGAATACAGCGTATATAAGGCTTTCTTTTTAAAAAAAGAAATCATAACCTCGATTGACAACAGGCGTGGATATCCATGCACCATGCTAGGTAATGCCGAGTACACTGCAGGGGTGGGGGCAGCCTATCACAGGGAATTTTCTCAAGGTCACACTGTAGGCTTACTGGCAGGACCAAATGCTTTTGGAACCAAAAGTCAGAGTTGGAGTTTAGAATTTAAGTTCATTATCTCTATAATATATGCTTCTAGAAATGACCAAAATGACATCAAGAAAGTATTCTCCCCAGGCCGGCAGGCGGCATGGTGGTTGAGGGCACTGGACTCCCACATGCTGACTGTGGTTCGGGTTCTGGACCTGGTGGCTTGCTTTCTCTTTCTCTCTCTCTCTCTCTCTCTCTCTCTCTCTCTCTCTCTCTCTCTCTCTCTCTCTCTCTCTCTCTCTCTCTCCCCCGCCCCACCCCAGTCAAATTTAAATAAATAAATAAAGTTCAATAAAATAATTATTTAAATTTAAATAAAAAAGAAAGAAAGCATTTTCCCAAAGATTACAAACTGAGTTTTAATGTGAACTTAAAACTGAACACATCAGGGACCAGCAGGTGGCTTGGAGGTTAAGAAGCTGGATCCCACATGACCGGCTACATGTGCGTCCAAAATCCTGAGAGGAGACTGGAGGAGAAGGGGTTGCAGCATGGCCATCTCCCCTGGAGGGTGATTTCTCTCTCATACTTGCACGTGCACAAAAGCACAAGTGACCTATAGCAAAAACTACCAAAAAAAAAAAAAAAAAACTGAACATCTCAGTATCGAAGATACTTTGATACTGTTGTGGCCCAAATCACTGAAATTCTCTTGGACTTTCCCTCAAACCCATGTAGTTCATGACTTCCCTCATGCCCTTGACTGTCCTGTGAAAAACTGAATGATACGAAGCACAAAGAATCAGAACATTCCAAACTGATCCTGCAATAAGCATGACAAACTGAAGCTAGGACATATTGTCTGCTTTATGATATTTTAATCAATGGGAAAGTCCTGGAAATACCCATATAAATTCCATAGCTAGCCTGCCCATATGTTTGCTAATTCGCTGCAGACAGAAGAGCATGCCTTTTGGTACTTCTATAATAACATGACCTCATTCCTGCAAGGAGCTCAAGGTACTTAACACACTTTAAGGAGCTAACATTACTTCTCATAACATCCAGAAGAGACCTATTTAAAAATTCAGGTTTCAGTCTCCACTACATAATATGAATTGTAATTAGATACAGTGGGGCTGCTTAGTAATTTCAAGCAAAGAGAAAATAATCTAAGTCACAAAGTATAAGCGAGAGATTTATATTAGTTTTTTTAATTTCTCATAATGATACATTCTTCAATTAATGAAACCCAAGTATGAAATACGTATGTCTCTCCACGAGCATATATAAATACACATACACACACACATATACATACACACATACATATACACACTTGCATACCCTCTTCGTAATCTAAGGTGCTTAATAAGAAATATATTTTTTTACACACATACATACCTCTGAGAGTAATCCAAGGTACTTAATAATAAATATCTTTCTATGTTGTACTTTTGGGACTCAATGTTTTATTCTAGGGCAAGAAAGGAGCTTTATCTATGGAAGACAGTACAGCAAACAAATTAAGAACCTGGTCGTAATCCTGCCTCTGCCACTTACTAACTATGGAATCTAAACAACTGCATTTCTTTCCACATATGTAAAACAGAGATAATGAAAGTTTTTATTTCAGTGGGTTGTTATGAAGATTAAAGAAGAATTCATACAAACAAAATAATATTTAGCATGTAGACCTCAATGAATACTACAATTTTTAACTTTTGCCAGAGAGTATATGCACTTACCAGAAAGAGACAGAGAGACAGAGAGAAGAGACAGAAAGTGAGAAAGCAACCCCATGGGAAATGGTCACACTGCAATTTCTTCTCCATTTCTCCCATCTTTCGGGACTTTGGGCACACACACATACATACTGTGTGTTTTTCAAGTTGCCAGGTCTGTGACTTAAACCGTACAGTGAGCCATGTGAGATCCAGCTACCTAAAACACCATGCCACTAATTGGCCTTTTTTTTTAAAAGTTTGCCAGAGGGCATGTGCATTTGCCAGAGAGAAAAAGACAAAGAGAAAGTAGGAAAGCACTCCCCAGGGAGAATGGTCATGCCACAATCCCTAATCCTCCATTTCTCCCTCCTTTTGCAGTTTTGGGTGCACATACACATACAGCATGTTTTTCAAGCTGACCATCACCCATGTGGGATCCAGCCACCTTCACCACCACGCTACCAGCTGGCCCATATTTTTTTATGTGGTATAATTTATCCCATAGGGGGAAAAAATAGTAATATTTATTATTATAATTTAAGTTTGTTATCCTAATTTTTAGGACCCAAAGGTTACATTTAAGACCTTACATGGCGGGGCCAGCAGTTAGCGTAATGGCTATGTCGCTGGACTCCCATGTAGCCAACCGTGGTTCGAGTCCCAGACCCAGTGGCTTAAATTCACGCCAGGCGCATGTGCGTGCATGCCCAAGATCCCGAGAGGAGAATGGTGGAGAAGGGATTGCAGCGTGGCCATCCCTGCTGGGAGGTGATTTCTCATTTTCTGTCTCTCTGTCTCTCTCTGTCTTTCTGGCTAGTGCACACGCCCTATAGCAAAAACCTCTCAAAAAAAAAAAAAAAAAGACCTTACATGGCTCTTGTTGCATCACAAAATTATAATTAATAATAGTTAAAAACAGAACTTTGAGACTACGGTGGAACATGACAGTGAGAAAAAGAATAAGCTTAAAATACATAATGCTTGAGTAAAGTATTCACACACAGAACGTCCTGGGGGAAAATAAGCATCTCCTACCACAGAACTCACCTCTGAGCAGGCCAAGTGTCTGACATTGGTGAACCAGTCGACATGAGCGCGACAGTGATCAAAGGCATGAATGAGCTCGTGGGTGACCACTCTGTTCATATGGGCCTGGTTACGGATATTGTTCTGACACAAGACAATCTGGGAGGCACCAAAACAAGAGAAGCTCATTTTTCCCTGTGTATAAGCTCCAAAGCAGGTAGCTAAATAACATGGGCTGTACATGGAGACGGTAAGACCATTCAGGAAAGTCAGGAATGACTATCACAAATCAGGATAAGGAAGGGAAAAGGATGTAATTCAAGAGGAGAATACAGGCTTCTGAAGTCCTGGTAATGTTGTTTCTTAAATCTAAGTAGTCACACAGGCATTTGCTTTATTATTATTACTCAAATTTACATATATTTACTCTGTATGAATGACATATTTCAGAATAAAATTTTAACTTAAAAAAAATAAATAAAAGGAAAGAGGGGGAGTGAGAAAGCAAACCATCAGATCAGGGACTCAAACCATAGTTGGCCATGTGTGAGTCCAGCACCTTTAACCACCATGCCACCTGCCAGCCCTACCAAATAATTTTTTTAACTGCTTTTTTTTTTTTGCCTTAATAATTTTTTTAACTGCTTTTTTTGCCTTAATTTATTCTTTTTTCTTATACTTTCAGGGTTAACCGGTGGTTATAGCTTTTGTAAGTAATGTAATCTGTAACTATTGTTAACAAGTAAGGTCATAAATAAGCCCTGTTTGCTTAGAAGAGGAAACTTAAGTCACTTGTTCTAGACAATGATCTCAAGAATTGCAAGGAGGAGGGAGGGCCCAGGCAATAAATCTTAAGAGATGGGAATGTTTACTCAAGGGATCATGTAACAGGTTACACTGGGAAAACAGTAAGAATGTTATCATTTACCATACTAGTTACAGATGTTTAGACTGTCTTGTTAAACAGTATAGCTCTAAAAATATGTAGCTTCCCTTAATCTATCAGTGTATGTCACAAGTCTGAGAACAGATTTAATGTCGCCATAAAAACAAAAACAGGGTCATAAACGTCATGTGAAAGGAAAAGGTACCCAGAACAATTTTGGGAAAATCATGAGGGTAAGAGTAAAACTGAACTAGCTAAATTTATGTTATTAATAACAATAGATGAGCAAAAACTGTAACATATACGACATACTGGAAAATACCTGTTCTGGCAGTAGGTTGGGAACTTGTTAGCTCTCAGTCACTCCCTCTGAAACACAGCTAAATAACTCCTCTCTCCCCTCTTTGCTTTGCCTCTTCATTACTCACAGAAATAGCTGCTGGATTTTAGGTGGCAACACTACGATAACTACAAAACAGTTTTGAATAACCAAAATACATATAAAACTATCTAGCAGGAAACAGTTACGTGTCATTAAATGTGGATTATACATTCAACTAGGAAAGAGTTAATTATAACACCTTCATTGACCCTCAGCACATGATATAATCCATCTACCACCTCCAAGACTCTAATAAAATCTTCCAAAAACTCAAAACCAATAACAAAACTTGCTGAATGCTAGGGCTGGCAGGTGGTGTGGTGGTTAAGGCGCTACACTCTCACAGCTGACCATGGTTCAAGTCCGGATTTGGTATTTGCTTTCTCACTTTCCTTCTCTCTCTGTCTATCTCTGGCCAAATTTAAAAATTAATAAATAAAATAATATAAAAAAATATATATTGGGGGACCAGCAGGTGATGTGGTGGTTAAGGTGCTGGACACTCCCACATGGCTGACCACGTTTCAAGTCCTGGACCTGGCGACTTGCCTTCTCACTTTCTTTCTCTCTCTCTGTCTATCTCTGGTCAAATTTTTAAAATAATAAATAAAATAATATAAAAAAAAAACTTGGGGGACCAGCAGGTGGTGCAGTGGTTAAGGTGCTGGACACTCCCACATGGCTGACCACGTTTCAAGTCCTTGACCTGGCGACTTGCTCACCTTTCCTCTCTCTGCATCTCTCCAGCAAGCACAAGCAACTTATGGCAAAAATAAATAAATAAAATAAAATAAAAAAAAAAAACTTGGGGGACCAGCAGGTGGTGCGGTGGTTAAGGTGCTGGACACTCCCACGTGGCTGACCACATTTCAAGTCCTGGACCTGGCGACTTGCCTTCTCACTTTCTTTCTCCTTTTCTGTCTCCCTCTGGTCAAATTTAAAAAAAAAATGAATGAATAAATAAAATAATTCTTTAAAAAAAAAAACTTACTGAATGCTTACTATGAACCAAGGGCTATGATAACTTCAAAAAAGATACCACATTTAATTCTTATACTTCTTTAGGATAGACATAATCATTACCCATATTTGACAGGTAAAAAATGACGTGATGGTTAAGGGCACTGGACTCCCACATGGCCAACTGCAGTTGAGTCCTGGCCCTGGAGGCTTGCTTTCTCACTTTCTCTCTCTC